GTCTCTTTGTCACGTGCTTGCTATGCTCTTGGACCTGGGGCTGCACTTGCTTGGAGGGGACATCTTTTTCAAATACCCACAGAGGCACCGTCCATGCCAGTGATGATTAAGTATGTCCATGACAAGATACAAACGGGTTGACTTTTTTAAGTGTTTTTATATTTTTTTAAATTACTTTTTAGGGTGTGTTTTAGAATTATTGAAAATTCAGTGCCGTCTCTTATTCCTTTTGTAGGTGAAAAGTATATAATAACAACTAATAATATATATTATTATATAACATCTAATAATATATGCTACATATTAATAATACTCTATTAATTAAATATAATAGTTAATAATAATATAATTATTAAACTATAATAATATATAATAATAAATAATGAGTATAATAACTCCTACGTATGTGAACTTTCTAGGTGCCTGGTACTGGCACCTAGTGGGTACCTATATATTTTGTTCACAATCCTTCCTTCCTGCCTTGCTGTGGTTCACTGTGGGTGGAGTATTGTTCCTGCTCCACTGACTTTGGCCTTGGCCATGTGACACTTTAGCCAATAGAATGTGGGTAGAATTCACAGTCTGCCTGTCACAAACAAACCACAGTGAACAGACCCATGAACATTAAATAGATGTTCATTGTTTCAAGTCACGGAGAATTGGGGATTGTTTGTTATGTGGCATTATCACAGTGATAGTGGACCCCGACAGTGCCCGACTTCCTTCTTTTTTTTAACAAATTCTCACCGCCACTCTTTAAGGTGCCTGTTTCCATTTTAGAGAAAGTCAAGGCTTTGAGACGTTAAATGACTTAAGTTAATAACTATTATAGCAAGTATTAACGTCCAGCTCTGCTCAATTCCAAAACCTGTTCTCTTTCTGCCTCTACTTCCCTTGTACTGTGTCCAGAATACTGATGCTATGTTGCCCTAGAGATCCTTAACTAGCAAAAACAACACTATTATGGTCAGTCAGTTTGTATTCTATTTATGAAGGCAGGGAAAGGAACCAATGAATTTTCGTTTTGCAAGACTGCACTCCAAGTGTCTCTCTGCTCAACTGTCAGTTCTATACAACATTCTTTTAAACAAAAGTCATCCCTTTCTTTTTCCTCTAACCACCCTAAACTTCCTGTTATTTAAAGTTTTAAGGTTTTAAATACAAAACTATTTCTTTAGGCTAAGTTGACCTGAGGCGGAGGCAGAGTTTAACTTGGCATGTTGTGTGTTGTAAGTACAGTAAGCATTGGCCACATGCAGATCACTGAACTCAAGAATGATTTCTCTCTCCTGATAGCACTTTAGGCAGGAAACAAACAAAACAAAACAAAAAACCTTTGACTGATGTATTGCTAAGTGAAAAAGCAAGGTGTACAACAATGTGTATTGTGCATTGCTATTTGTGTATCTTAGAAGGATGTACACATATAACTGGTTATATCTACATGGGGTGTCTCTGGAAGTCTAGAAACTGGTAATGCTGGTTATCTCTAGTAAGGGAATGTGGTGGCTGGTTGGGGGCAGGGGCCTAAGAGAATTATTTTTCACTGAATACTCCTTTAAAGCTTTCTAACTTGGTATGCATGTTCATATTACTATGCAAAATAATAAATGCATTTTTTAAAGAAAGCGCACCTTCTCTCACCTACTCCTCTTTCCACTGCCGTCAAACAATCTCTTAGTTCTCCAATTCCTTGACTTTTTAAAAAAAACTTGGAAGGAGGAGCTGGCCCAAGAGGAGGCACATTCTCTTCCTCTCAGTAGTTAAGGTGCTGGGTAAGCATCTTCAGAGTCTCCACAGATAGCAGAGACAATGCGAGGAGGCATGAACTGCAGCCCGCTGGCTTCTACAAGTGAAAGTGAGCAGCTGCTTTCTTAAAAACAAGACCCCACCCCACCAGTGTCCTCTGATCTTGTTCTGAGTTACATTGAAGAACATTCCAAAAGTTGGTCCTTAGATTTCCACCTGCAAGCCAAGGATGTTTTTCTCTTAAATTCTAATTGTATTATTAGAGTTTATTAATTGTTTCAACAAACAGACATCTATGTCCATTCATTAAAAAAAAAAATAAGACTGGGTAAATAAATCAACTTTCAAATCATGTCCTCCTGCAAACACCAGCTGCACCGGAAAAGGAAAGCGGCCTGTTCGGCTCTCACTACAGCGCTGTCCGTGTACATGCCCAGAGCCTGTTAATGCATCCTACAGCCCACAGGAAAGAACCTCAGCGGAAAGCAAGACGGCAGAACAATTGTGTGAACTTACCTCCCCTTTTGACTCTCCAAACATCTGGCCCCTGCATGTGTCATTTCTTTGATTCAAACCTGCTCTGGGGCTATTTGATAGGGAAAATCTCCACCTGGGTAAGGCTGGGGGCATTGGCCGACTATTTCTTCATCAAAGACTAGTTAGACCAGACTCACTTTTTGTAGCAAAATAATGGAGCCGGTTGGTTATAAGCCATGTTTCTGAAATCGCCCAGCTATGTCTCTGCCAACTCTTTATGGAGAGACTAAAACAAAAGCTGGAAGCAAAGAGACAGTAAGGAAAGCCCTTGTGATTAGGACTATAGAAAAATCAAAACACACATGATGCCATCTTGGTATTGGCTAACCATAGGGGGAAATCTCTGCTGTTTAACATAATGCATTTATAAACACAGATGTCAGGGACGACAAGTTTATTTTTGTAGTTCCGTATCTTACGTTTCCCCAGTTGGTTCTTTCTCTTATCTTCTTCCACGTCAGAACAGCCAAACAGGATTCAAGTGATGCATGTGGAGGGCTTGCTTCCCTGAATTGTGTCTCTAATCATTAGTAGGACACACACTTAATTCCACCTGTGAACATGGCCGTTTTATAATCGTCACAACTGTTCCCATTTCCTGCTCCTCATTTCATTTTACTGGGGTACTTTAAACAACAACCTCCTGGGCTTATTTTGATGGCAGTTAAAAATCAGTTTGGTAGTAATATTGCCTGGAGATCAGCTATTAAGCTTAGGTACTTGTCAAATTTTAACTATAGGACTAATTGAAAAGTAAATAGAGCCACTTAAATTTTGTTGGGCTCCAAAGTGAAGTTATAGGCAGATCTTGACTGCAGGCTGCATACTTAGTTTGTAGCGATCTTCTTCCCCTTCTCTTTTCCAACTCTTTCATTAGCACCTGTGCCTGGGGGTGGCTGGGTGGTGGGTGAGTGCAGAAAGGGGAGGGAAACGAAAATGCTGCGGAGCCCGTGCCACCAAAGGAAATTCGAGAGGGTTAAATGCAAAGTCATGCATTTAGGCTGAAAAAAGAAGTCAATTGCACATTTTAGATGGAGGTAGACTGAATCGGGAACCACATGACATATAAGAGATTTGAGAGTTTAGTTGATTGCAAACTTAATTTTTAAAAACAATTGAAAATCACGTAGGACTTAAAATGTATTAAGAAGCACTAGTCTAAATACTTTATAAATATTAACTTTTGTCATTCTTCCACCAACTTAATGAGGTTAAGTACTATTATCAGATGGGGGAATTGAGACATACAGAGAATAAATAACTTGCCTATAGTTACATAGCTAGAAAGTGTCAGAGTCATAATTCAAATTCTGGCAATATGGCTCCAGGGTCCATGGACTTAATGCAGTACCTTGATATAAGCTGGTATTGGGGTGTAACCGCTAAGAAGCAAATACAGAGTCAGCTCTGTTTAATGTTACTGGTTGGAACTCATAACAATGGATATCAAAAAGATCAAAATCTCTGTGAAAAGGAAAATAGATATATAAATCTATGTCAATTGTTTCAGATAATAGTGAACAAAAAATTCTAGAACCTTAAAAATAATTAGTATTATTCTTATAAATTTGGTATGACGATGTTACACCCATAATTTTGTGATAGTTTTGATGAAAATAATATCAACTAGAAATATAAGGGTGACGTTTGAAGTCAAATTAACCTCTGGGTCTTCAACCTCATCTGTCTAATATGTAGAATGAGCTCAGACATTTTCCTAATCTATTCACAATTTAAGATTCTAATAGTCCCCCAAATCCTCTGTAAATCTAGCCATAAGTTCATTTATTCAGTCTTGGAACTGGCATTTTTTTGAGTATTTTCTTTTTTCAAGGCACCCTGCTGGCATTCTGGAGAGCAGCCTGATGAGCACAAGAGACACAGACTGAGGGAACTGTAACGCCAAGCCTGGGCCATGCAGATGCTGCCGGAGGTCTTGGGCAATGTATCAGTCTGTGTTCTTAGTTGCGGACACCATCATCACTCAATGTGCTTTATATAAGAAAGGATTTGGGAGGAGGATACTACACACTCACAGAATCTTTGGAAGAGCTAGAAGAATAATTTCTGGACTGATATTTTTAGAACAATGTCTAAAGCCACCCTAGAGAAATGGCTTGAGAAGGGTGAAGCCTCGCACTGACTCTAGACCAACCAGATGGCTCTCGCCATCTGCAACAGCAAAATGGATATTCAATGTCCCTCTTATTTCCATAACTCACTTCCAAATCAAATTCTTTTATGGTGCATAGGATTGTAAGAAACTGAATGGTGGTTTTGGTGGGGGGTGGGTTGTGTGGGAAAAGTAACATTGTTTTGGATTTCATTTGGGGTAGGCAGACCTAGAGAATGGGAAACTATCAAAATGTATAAAGAATGTTCAAGAGGTTTTTGGGACCTGCAAGTAACAAGTGTCTGCTACAGATAATATTTCTTCTCAATTTATCACAGGAAAGACTCTTACTTAAGAATAGTATTGAGTTGTGTTTATTTGCGATATCCAAGACTGAAATTTAATTCCTGTGATGATGGTAGTGGTGGTGGTGGTGGTGGTGATGATGATGATGATAATGATGATGGCAATCATTCATTAAGGACTTTTTGTATTTTAGCCACTGTGTTAGGTTTTTTACATATGTAGTGGACACATGTAGCTCCAGGGGTGGCCATGACCTAGGATTAAGCCAGTCAACATATCCCATTCTCTGGTCAAATAATAAGTTCACGGATGGGCATTTGACCATCTTCAGACTAATGAGTATCAGGGTCGGGACTTTCACTTTAATTTTGGACTGGAACATAGGAGAATGGGGTGGGGTGCTTCTTGGCTGCCATCTTGCCACCATGTGGAGCCTTGAACAAATCCAAAAAACAAGAGTAAAGTTAGTAGACGTGGAGAAAGATCAAGTTTTCGTGACAGCATTTGACCCCATGAAGCCAGCTAGTCTTATAATTAGCATATCCTCCTGGATTTTCAATCATATAAATCAATAAATTCCCCCTGTCTCCTTAAGCCACATCAAGTCATGCTTTCCATGACTTTTTCCCAAGGTTTTCCTAATTTCTACACACACATTAACTCTTTTAATCCTCAAAAACGCCCCATAAGGTTAATGATATTATCACATTTCATAGATGAGGACACTAAGGCTCACAAAGATTAATAATTGCCCAACATCACATAATTTGTCTATATGACTCCAAAGCACAAGTCTTTAAACTCCTGTGTCATGGAGAGGTATTGGAAAATGTTGAGTGGGCAATGGCACTGTGATTTGAAGTTTGAAAAGCAGACCTTGCCAACTGACAGTGGGCAGCTTCTGGATTGCAGGAGTAACACTTTACATTTCTTCTATATTCCTTATAATGTCTAGCCCCATTCTATGCACAGATGGCTTTCAATAGGCACTTCTTGCTTATTGAGTAAAGTGACAAAAGAGGGAACTAAATGCTTCCAGTCGTGGAAGATGAGAGAGTCATATTAGCAATCTCCGCCTGTGTGAAGGGGTATCCTATAAGTGAAAAGTGTCTATATGACCTTTGGATTGGATATGCAATGTAATTGAAAGAGAGGAATTAAGGATGACACCAAGAGTTTTGTCCTGAGCAATTAGAACAATGAAGTTGTCATTATTTGATGTGAAGGCTGAGGAGAAGTAGATTTAGCAGCTAAAAGCAGGAACTTATTTTTCGACATGTTAAGTTAGACATACACGTAAAGATGTTGAGTAGGTTGGTGGATCTATGAGCCTGCATTTCAGAGGAGAAGCTAAGGATGGAGATATAAATTTGGGAAGTATCAGGATAGAAACGGTATTTAAAACCATGAGATTGGATGAAACCACTGGGGAAATGAATGAGGATCGGAAAGAGAAGAGATTCAAGAACAGAGCCACGAGATACTCCAGCATCACAAGGTCTTGGCCAGGGGGATGAGGAGGAGCCAACACAGGAAGCTGAGAGAGAGCAGCAAAGGAGATAGGAGAAAAGCCAAGGGAACGTGGTATACTGGAAAGCAGATAAGGGAGTGTTTCAAGGAGAAGGAAGTAGCCACCTTGGTCAATGTTATGGATAGGAAGACTATGATGAGGACTGAGAATTGACAATCAGACTTGGCAAGGTGAAGGTCATTAGGGGTCTTAATAAGAGCAGTTTCAGAGTGGGAAATGCTTCATTGGGTGGGTTCAAGAGAATGGGGAGAGTGATGGTTGGAGATAATGCATACAGACAGCTTTTTAAAAGGAGTTTTGTGATAAAGGGAAAAGAGAAATAGGGTGATAGTTGGAGGGGGATACAGAATCAAGAGAGGTTTTTATGAAAGAAATAACAATGGTTATATGCTGATGGGTAAGGCTAGTACAAGTGTGAAAATTAAAGAAGGGAAACCTTGGGCCAGCCAAGTGGCACATTGGTTGGGAGCTGGCTTGGGATGCCAGAGGGCCCCGGTTTGGATCCCACATATGAGGGCCAGTGACACTGCCCTCCACAGCTAAGATGCTGAACAACAGCTCAACCTGGAGCTGGGCTGCCGTGAGTCGCCTGCGACGGTGTAGGCTGCAGCCCCTGCTGCAGTGGGTTGCCATGGGCTACCGTGTGTAGCCAGCAGCCGCAGTGAGCGGCCAGCAGCCGCAGTGAGTGGCCGTCCAGAAGCCGGCGACTGATCTGCCTCGCCCAGGAAGAGTGCAATGATGGTGCCAACTTGGGCCAGTGAAGCAACGTCCTCCACGACTAGACTGAAGAACGGAAGGGCAGCAGCTTGTCTGTTCCCCTTCCCCCAATTCCCCAGCGCTGTTCCCATCCCCCAATTCCCCAATAAAATCTTTCAAAAAATAAAATAAAATAAAGAAGGGAAACCTCATAAAATGAAGTTGGGAGACCAGAAGGGTGAGCTCTCATACCCTACCACTCATCAACTACCCCCAAACAGGAAGAGATCAATATACCTTGCATCTGCAACAAGGAGATGTTTTCTACCTTACTGCCCCAGAAGGAGGAAGGAAGAGTTTCTCCTTCCCCGGGGAACGGCTCAACCAATGAAAGACTGTCACAACTCAGCCAATGAAAAACCACCATCCTTCAAACTCCCACTTTCCTTCAATTGACGCTTTGTAACAGTCCTTCCCAAATCTCTCCTCTCCTCCATACAAGAATGTTTCTCTCTTTGTTCTCTGGACTTGCCTATGATTTTGCCATAGCTTGCATGTCCCTAATTGCAATTCTTTGCTGTTCTCAAATAAATTCATTTTTGCTGGTAAAACAACTATTTTTTTAGGTCAACAAAAGAAGAAATAATTCACAAAATAGAAGGAAAAACTGCTATAGCTATGACCTCACTTATTGAGAGCAAGAGAACGTGCCTCCTCTTGAGCCAGCTCCTCCTTCCAAATCTCTAATATTTTTGAAAGGTGGTTTTGCTCTCTACTTATTCACCTTCTCCCAAACCCCCACTGCTACCCCAAAGAATAGGGCAGTGAGCTACAAAGTTTCAGGACTTTAAAAATACTCTCATTTTAAACATAATTAAAACAATACATGTTTATTGTAGAAAATTTAGAAATTAAAAATAAATATAAAGAATAAAATGAAAGTCAAATATTATCCCTCCACCTAGAGAGAACCACCTTCAGTATTTAGGTGTGTATACTTTTATATACATTGTACAAAAATGGTATCTTACTAGATATGTAGTTTTATAACTTCTTTTTAATTGAATGATAAGCATGGTGGTTTTCCTGGTAATTAATATTCTTATACATAAACTTAATGACTTCCTTAAGTCATTAAAAACTTAGGACTGCAGTTCATAAACGTACTAATTATTCCTCTAATTCCTATTATAGAAAATGTAAATTGTTTCCATTTTTAACCCTTAGAAACAACAGCAGGATGAACACCATTTTTGCTTTATCTGTGCAAAGCCATGATTATTTATTTTCTGTGAATTAGATCCTATAATTGGATGAAGCATACCCTAGGTGGGTCAAAGGGTATGTAAAATTTTTAAGGCTTTTGATACATATTGCCAAGCTGTCCTCCAGAAATATTTCACCAGTTTCCCTTCCTCTCAACAAGATATGATAATTTCCCCACACCATCTCTCTTACTGTTGTCATTAGAACGTCTTTACCTTGGGTGACTTCTTGAGATTCCTTCCAACCCTTAATTTGTGTTTCCATGGTGAGAATGAGACTGCTTTCATTTGACTTTTTCTGTTTCTTAAGTGGACTGATTAACCCCTGGCAAGAGAGTTTGGGTCACCATTTTTAAGCCACCAGAAGGCCTGGACTCTTAACAGCATGTGGAGGTCAAAATGGTTTCAGGTCAAAAAGTGCTGGGCTGGGGGCCATTTTTCTCACCCTTGGGTGTTACTCATATCCCTGGGCTCAAGGCACCTTTTTGGCTTCCTTCTAGCTTTTAGTTTCTATGATCCTTTGTCTTTCTGTTTCAGGGAACATTCTTGCCCAGCTCATCCTCAGTATCTGTGGACAGGAAGGTCAATCCAAAGTCAAGTATTTGGACAGAATTCTTCTGCCTTGTTATCCTTTCCTTGCAAACACGTATTCTTAATAGAAATTTGAGTTTTATCTTTGCCTTTGTTCAGGCTGATAATGATCTTTCAATTCAACTCGAATAATATTTATTGAGCAACTCCATGGTTCGTGGTAACACACTAGGCATAATAGAAACCCACATCCATTCTTCCTGGTAAGGTCTTTTTCTTTTCTTTCTCTGTAGTAAATCCTCGTTCACCCACCCACGTTTCCTCCTTGGTCTCCTCTCTAGAGGATTCAAAACATCATGACTGTCGTCATCTTCCTGCCTCTGAGGCAGCATGATTCACTGGCTGCTTCTAAGGCTGATTATTTAACTGTGAGACCACAGTAAACAAGAACCTTGATAACATGGGTGAGAGGTTCCTTCTTTGATAGCCCCTGTTATGTAACATGCATTGTTTTGTTCATGAGCTCACATTTAAAACAATGGTTTGTTGTGAAAAAAAAAAAAGGCTTAGTAGAATGGGGTAACACCTGAATAAATGAGGCGATGTTTGGGAACTTTCTGGTTTGTACAGCATTTTCAGGGGCTCCAAAAGTTGAGTCATGTTTTCTCTTTTGCTCAGAGCTCATTTGAAACTCTTGTGCATGGGATTACAATGAGTTTAACTGGAGAGGGAAAGACATTTTGGCTTTCAAGCAGATTTTCAGCCCTTCACTGGAGAATGGGGAATAAAAGTCTGAGTCCTAATAATGAAAAACAGAGTCTGTTGCTAAATGCAGTATTAGGATACCATCGGAGGGAAAATCACCTGTGTTTTTATATGCTGTTTAGCCACACAGACACGCATATGTAAACACATGGATACATGTACAGATACATGCTCAAATAATGCCACAGTATTTTTAATAGAAACATATGGAAACATACACACACACACACACACACACACATTTATTTTTTAAATACGAATTGCATCGGCAAAGTTGCATAATCTTGTCCTAAGGAGAGGAATTTGCATGGAGCATGGAGATTTCAGAGCAAGTCTTTCCTCTGCGTATTTGAAGCCCCAGCCAGTGACTGTCAGCACTGAGCAGAGGAGCCTGTGCCAAGGGTGACAGAACAGGAAAGTCATCCCCCGTGTCAGCTGCTGGGTGTGATACCAGGGAGGTATATGCCCTCTGTGCCTTCTAGGCTCAGCTCTCTCTTCTGGGAAGTAGAATCCAGTGATAAATGTCAATACACTTATGTTGCCACATGGAAGTGAGTTGGAGCTGTCTGCCTCACAAACAGAAGTGGCAGATCTCAAGATGTGGGTGCCAGATGGCACTTAGGAGTTGGGCACGTGGGATGGCTGCCGAGGGAGGTTTTATTAGCTGACACAAGTGGCCTGGCACTGCTGGGTGCCACCTCACTTTCTCTGGGGGTTCCCTCTAGAGTGCATTATCTATTTTGCTTTTAGATTAGATACCCATTAAGCACACAGCCTCCCCTCCCTTTTTTAATGGACTTGTTGGGATGTGTTTGGAGGGGCCTTGCTAAGGGGGTGCCACCAAAATCTATAAAAAAGAGGAGAGTGGTGTGGGAGTAAAGCCTTGTCACAGAGAAACTGCCCACCAACAAAGCAAAGGAGATTTTTTTTTTTAAATGAGTTATATTTCTTTGACGGTGTAACCAGGCTTGGGTGGCAAGTGAGATGTTACCTGCATCAACTTCCAATTTGACTGAAAGCTTGTCTTTGAGCAGAGTGTTTGGCTTTCCCACAGCCAAACAAACAGCCTCGCTTTTCTTTTTCTATGGGGGGAGAGAGGGGAGAAATATCTTTACAACATTAAAACCTTATATTTGCATTTTATAGTTTTACAGTTTATTAAGCACTTTCATGTGTATTCATTTCTCTTCCAAACTGCACATCTTCAGCTCTATCTTGTTGATGCAGAAATGGACACTCTGAGAAGAATGACCCCGCTTCTAGTCACACAGCTAGTGAGCACCCCACCCCTGAGGTCTAGCCTGGACCTGACCCTTCCCCAGCAACTACTACCCATTGATGCCTACTGCCTTAGTCTGCTCAGGCTGCTATAACAAAATGCCACAGGCTGGGTGGCATATAAACAACAGAAATTTATTTCTTACAGTTCTGGAGGCTGGAAGTTTGAGATCAGGGTCAGCTGAGGGCCCTGTTCAGGGTTGTAGACTTCTCGTTGTAACCCCACGTGGTAGAAAGGGCCAGAGAGCTCTGTACAGTCTCTTTTATAAGGGCACTATAAAATCTCATTTATGAAAGCTCCACTCTCAAGACCTAATCACCTCCTAAAGGTCCACCTCCTAATACCATCACATTGAGGGTTAGGATTTCAACATATAAATTTGGGAGGATGCAAATATTTAGACCACAGCATCTACTATGTGCCATGTGCTTTACACATATTATTTTCACCCTTTTAGCAAGTCTGTAGTGTAGGCAATATTGTTGTCATATACAGATGACAAACTCGAGGCTCAGTGGGGCCGAATTTGTTGCTCAGTGTCAGATAGTTGCTATGCGGCTGGCTAAGCTAGGATTTGAACCTGTGTCTGCCTTGACTCCCAAAACTATTCCTTTCCACTCTAATAATTATCATAGCTAACAATTAATGAGCACTTACTATTTTCCAGGTCTGTTCTAAATATTTTATCTATATTAACTCAATTGCTTTTTGTAACAAGAATACAAGGCAGATATTGCTAACATCTCCAGTTTACAGATGGAGAAACTGAGGCATAGAAAAGTTACTAGACTACCCAGCTGGAGATGGGTGGGACTAGGGTTTGAATTCAAGCAATTTAACTCGAGGACTCACATTTTTAAATCACCACTATGTACTACTCTAGCATGATGCCAGCTTGCATTCTTCAGGGCAGTAGGTGTGGTTTAAAAAGGCTTTTAGGTAAATCCATTTTTTAAATGATTTTTAGAGCCATGCCATCCCACACTCTTCTAGAGTCAATACCAACTCCAGTATTAGTTCCAGAACTACCTCAACCTTCCAGGGTCTATTTTGAATCAGAAATGACTCGGATCCTGCTACTGACTAGCAGCCTCAGCAACTCCTTGGGAGCATCTTAGAAATGCAGCATGAGACCTACTGACCCTGAGTCTGTCCCTTTGGCCAGATCACCAGGGGACTTGGGTGCACATTAGAGTTTTAGAAGCGCTGGTCTAAGAGGGAACTAGAGCCTTGAAGAGCATAGTTGTGGATCTCAACCACAGGTTAGGATCCCCAGGAAGCTTTACTGATGCCTGGATCCCACCCCCAGAGATTCTGATCTACTTGCGGCCTGGACACTGGGGACTCTAAATGTTCTCCAGCTGATTCTAAGGTGTGGCCAAGCTGAGAGTCACTGCTCGGGGATGCCTCGCAGTCTTCAGCAATTCCTCAGGGTTCACACACATTCTCACACTCAGACATCTAAATCTGCCTGGTTTAGGGGTTAGAGAAATCCTCATGAAGCTGTTCACCCCGTGGCTTACGGTAGTTATTTTCATCAGCAGAGCAATAATTGTAGTAGAACTAGCATTGTTTAGACAGGGCTGGCCTGGACATCTCTTCCTGATCCCACCCTAATGGTTTTTCCTTCTCATTTGTAGTCACACATAAAATAAGCCTGCACTTACCCTGAAAGAAGAGGAGGCTTCAGATGTGATGCTAATTACCCTGACTCTCCATGTTGGGAAGGGCTACCATCCAGTTGCGAGGCTCAAGTGTTATTTCAACTGCCCAGAGAGGCAAGCCCTGTGTGGCAAAGGGTTTGACAGTGAAGAAGACCTGAGGTTTGAAGTAGACAGCCATTATGTCCTTGAGACAACTACATCCAATCCTTTGCAAGAACATCTGATCGCCAGTGAGCCTGTCCTTGCAATAGAGCCATGGGTTGTAATCAAAATGTAGAAATTAGCTATTTAAAACAGGGAATTTGTTTATAGTCTTATTTTCACACAAGAAAGTAACTTCTGAGAGGGCATGGGTTTTGTTACACTCTGTGGCATCCTCAGTGCCCAGTACTCAACACACAGTAGGTGTTTTGTAAGCATAAGCATAATGAAGAACTGGAGGAGGTGCCCATCATCCATACCACTTACTGAATGCCCTCTGGCATCCAGACATCTTATAAACATTATCTCGTTTAGTCCGATGAGAATCTTAAGAAATACATTATTGTTTGTTTGTTTGCTTTTAATTGTTTAGTGAAGTTAAATAATTCATCCATTGGTTGGTACTTTCTAGTGGGTGGCAAAACCTGGAGTCATTCATCCAACACATATTGATTGAGTGCCAGACACTACCCTAGATATTTGGGCTACATCAGTGAATAAAACAGAAAAGATCCTTTACCTTTGTAAATTCGAGGGAGCATACAATAAATAACATAATAAGTAAATTATATAATGTGTTAGAAGGTTTTAAGTGCTATGGCAAAAATAAATAAATCAAGGTCAAGGTAGGGAATTAAGAGTGTCAGGGAGGGGTAGGGTGGTGGTGGGTGGTAATGAATGTGTCACCTTGGCTAGGCTACAGGACCTTGTTATTTAATCAATCACCAATTTAGATATTGCTTGGAAGGTGTTTTGTAGATGTGGTTAACATCTAAAATAAATTGATTTTAAGTAAAGATGATTACCTTGATAATATGGGTGGGCCTCACCCAAACAGTTGAAGGCCTTAAGAGCAAAAACTGAAGTTTCTAGAGAAGAAGAAATTCTGCCTCGAGACTATAGCCATAACTCCTGCCTGAGTTTCCAGCCAACTTGCCTGCCCTACAAATTTTGGACTCAAGACATGCTAGCAACATCAACTCCTGCTTGGGTTTCCGGTCTACTGGTCTGCCAGTCCAGTAGGAATTGGATGTGCTGGCTCCCCAAATTCCTTAAAATAAAACTCTGGAGACCCTGACTGATACAGATTTTGGTACTGAAAGTAAGATGCTACTATAAATGCCTAAAAATATAAAAATAGCCTTGGAATTGGATAATGGTAAAGGTTAGAAGAATTTTAAGGTATATGATAGAAATTGCTTTGAAGAGATTGTTGGTAGAAACATAGTCAATATGATGATTTTGGAGAAGACTCGGAAAGAAGTGCAGAAAAGTTTAGAGAAAACGTCTATTGTTTCAGAGAATACATATATTATTGTGAACATTCACATATACAGATGTGACTGATAAAGGTGCTTTTGGTGAGGACTCAGGTGGAAATGAGGAGCATGTGATTGGACATTGGAGGAAAAGTGTTCCTTGTTACCAAGTGGCAGAAAATTTGGCTCAATTCTGGAAGCCCCAGGGGATTTAGGGCCAGGATATTATTTTCATGTAAAATAGAATTGCCTGTGAGCCTGGGTCTGTGGGTTCTGTATAACTGATGCTTTTGTCCCCATAATTAATAATTCATGAACAAAGTGGAAAGGAGAAGTGGAGTAGGGTAGTGGTTAAACACTGTGACATTTAATTTTATGTGCCCACTTGACTGGGCCACAGGGTGCCCAAATATTTGGTCAAACATTATTCTGTGAGGGTGTTTTTCGATGAGACTAACATTTAAACCAATAGACTAAGTAAAGCAGGTTGCCCTCCCTAATGTGGATGGGTCTCATCCAACCACTTGAAGGCCTAAATAGTACCAAATGGCTGGCTCTCCCTTGAGTAAGAGAATTCTTCCTGCCTGACTGCGTTTGAGCTGGGACACCAGCTTTTTTCTTGTCTTTGGACTCCAACTGAAACACCAGTTCTTCCTGGGTTTCAAGCCTGCTGGCCTTTGGGAAGAATTCTGCCATTGGCTGCCCCAGTTCCCAGGCCTTCTGATCAGACTAGAACTAAACCATCGGCGCCCCTGGGTTTGCAGTGTATTGACTCACCCAGAAGACTTTGGAAATTGCTTGCCTCTATAATTGCATGAACCATTTTCTTATAATACATTTCTTCACACACACACACACATACACACACACCCTACCTATTGATTCTGTTTCTCTGAAGAACTCTGACTAATACAAGCATGTTTACTTTGTGGTTAAACTTGAGTTCAAACCTCAACTTCACCACTTACTTAATCCAAGAGCCTTAGGCTAGGTATTAACCTCCCCAAACTTCAGTTTCCACAACGGAAACATGAAGGCATTGACAGAATCTCAATGATAAGAATACGAAGTGAGTACAAAAAGTGTTTTACAACTTGTAAAACAATACACCTGGCCTAAAGCAAGTTCTGAATAAATATTTAACATTTTCATTAGGGTTAATAAGGTATTTCAGAAATGGTTTTGGAGATATAAGTTTCAATACTGGGTCTTTCATTAAGCAAGGTATATTGTTTGTCTGGGCCTGTTTCCTCATCTATAAGATGGCGATAAGCTACAGCTGATCTACTCAAAGTGTGGGCCACAGCCTGCTGCCCATCTGTGAGCTATTACTGGCTAATGATGATGAATCCAGAGAAACAGGTAGCATGTATCTAGAAACTTTCATAGCAGTTTGATAGGGTAATTTCATGCCTTTTGAATCTAATAATAAAAGTTTGGGTTTGTATTTTGTATGTCTCTTTTTTTCATTATTCTGATAACCTACATTTATTACATTTTCAAAAGTATCAGTCCACAACAGATTAGGGGGAGAAAAACCAGTACCTGTTCTTTCAGCACTGCTAGTTTGAGAACTCTCTAAGATCAGTGCTTCTCCAATTTTAATGTAAAAAGGGAGCTTGAGAACCCTGTTGAAATGTGCTGATTCTGATCCAGCATGTCTGGGGTGGGGGCGGAGGTTCTGCATTTCTGACATGCTCCTCAGTGAAATTGATGTTGCTGGTCCATAGGTCACTTTGAGTGGCAAGTCCCTAGATGGCTTCTATTACCACAGATTAATTAATGTCTTACCTTTTTACAAAATGGAATTACGGGAGTCTGAGAAAATTAAGGTGACTTGTGAGGTCTTCTAAACTTATCATTCATTTGGGACTTTTACATACTTTGTTCAATTTTTTAAAGACCTTTAATATGGCAGTTCAGGGATTGTCACCATGTCATTTTCCACTTTTATCTAGAAACTTCAAGGCTAGACAACTCTACCTAAGTCTTTGGCATTGGGATTATAGGAATGCATTTTTATGTAGTTTGACTCGGGCCAATGATTTATTTATTTATTTATTTTTAGAGAGACAAATTATCCAGAGCAGATGAGCCATCATTCCAGTCAAGGCATCTGTTCTTTGGAAGGCAGGGGTCTCATTTAGCTATCAAAGGGACCTTGTACTAGACTCTCAAGATGGATAGCAGACTTGACCTTAGAGGAGAATATAAGACCCAGAGGAAAGTGTAGATGAAAGGTGACTAATGAAATGCCTTAAAGTGCACACGGTCTGACAATTAAGTTCACAAACTCATCTTAGACAAAGTGCTACATACCTCACTGTTGAATATCACTGTGGCCACCTTCGAAGTACTGTCCTTGGGAAGCTATGCCTAGTCCATCCTTCAAAGCAATTTTGGGACTCTTTTTCTGGAATAGCCATCAGAGCTGTCGTCGTATTACCCTTGATGTCCTGAATGTCATCAAAATGTCTTCCTTTCAATATGTCCTTTATCTTCGGGTAAAGAAAGAAGTCATTGGGGGCCAGATCAGGTGAGTAGGGAGGGTGTTCCAATACAGTTATTTGTTTACTGGCTAAAAACTCCCTCACAGACAGTGCCATATGAGCTGGTGCATTGTCATGATACACGAGCCATGAATTGTTAGCGAAAAGTTCAGGTCATCTAACTTTTTCACACAGCCTTTTTAGCACTTCCAAATAGTAAACTTGGTTAATCGTTTGTCCAGTTGGTAAAAATTCATGATGAATAACCCCTCTGATTTCAAAAAAGGTTAGCAACATTGTTGCAACCAATTCCCAAAGTTAATTGTCCGACCTTGTAAATGTGTGAGGTCAGGAGTGGAGGGGTGTTATCACTCTTCTCTGTAAACTCTAATAACAGAATTTGCAGAACAAAAACATAAGCTTCATAACATGAAAGACTGGAGGTGTGGCTGGTGCTATTAGATCTTGAGCAACGGAAGAGAGTTGCCTGACAAGAGCTATATCCAACAGCACCTGGCCCACTGCCAGAATCAGAGCAGGCTAGGTGAGGGTGAGAAAGAGAATAAATACCCCAGCCTTTCCTCCACCTGCTAGTCTCCATACTTTGGCTTCTATTGGCCAAACTAACTGGCAGCCAAGTGGAAAGTGATCCTGTTTTGCCATCTGTGGACATCAACCTCCTGAGGCACAGAACAAGACAGATAATGGTGGAGAATAGATTCAGAGAGGCTCATGGAGAATAAGCAGCACAGACCTGACATTCTATAACCTGACAGCCCCTTGAACTCAGGCTTCTTATAAAATTTCATACACACATATACAGTGCCACCACTGCTGGATTTGCAGACCACACTGACTTGGGACCATGTAATACAGGACATACTGTGAAACAGAGGAGTTGTGAGAGTTGAGTTGGTTCAGTACAAGATACCTTTCTGGAGGGAGTGGCTCAGGTGAATGTGGAAGGAGACGAGAGACATGAGTTGGGGGAAAGAGAGAGAAAAACAGCTTGAGGCAGAGATAACAGTATGAGTAGCTTTGTAGGTGTGAAGAGGGATGCTTGGAAATGAATGTCAAAGAAGCCAGTTGATAGAGGGCATCAGGTCCTAACTTGAATGGCATAGAGGGAGCAATGGCTCTTGAAAATGGGGGGGGGGTGACATTATGGAGAGGAAATACTACTACTACTAGCTATGCATTGGGTAAATTAAGGATAAAATCAGAACTTCGGTAATTTTTTACATACATCATGTCATTTATGCCTTACAGCAATCTGATGGGGGTGGTAATATCATCATCATTATTATTTCGTAGAAGGAAAAACTCAGGACCAGAGAGAAATTGCTTTGCCAAATGTGGTAGACTGTTATTGTTTAAAAATATTTTCTGTCACTCCCATAGGGCTTCTCCTTATCACCTCCTCCTTACCAGACAACTTTCTGGTTGTATTTGTCCTATTGACATCAAGTTTGGTTATGGGACTTACTTTGGCTAAAGAAATGTGAGTGAATGTGACATTTGCCACTTCCAAGCAGAACCTTTAAGATCCATTGCCCTTTTCCCTCTCAACAGAGGCTACCCTGTCAGCCTGGGTCATGGTGTCAAGAGGACCTGAACAGATCTATAGCAAATAACCCAGAATAGACATGTAATGGGAGCAATCAATATTTGCTCTGATATGTAAGCCATCGATGTGGGGTTATTGGTGAATGTGACATACTCTAGCCTACCCTGGCTGATTAACCATGGATACCAGTTTCTTCCTGGGTGAAGTATTCAGAATATTCATTTTCAGTTTTCAGTGAACTTGACCTCTCTGTCATATTTAATACTTTGCCAGTCCCTCCTTCATAAGATATTTTCCTTTGCAGCTTCTCCTGGTTTCCCTCCTATTCTGTGTATTCTGTGCTTTTACGTCTTGGATCCCCTTGGAGATGCCTCTGCCTCTGCTCCCTCCTTTAATGTGGATGTCCAACAAAGATCTGGCTTTGGATCAACTTATCCAACACATATCCCCTGGGCAATGACAGTCACACTCCTGGCTTCATCAATAAATGGGTGAGTCCTGTAGGGATTGGAGTGAGAAATGGGAGACCTTTAACTTATAGATTTCATAGCAGAGCCATAGGGGAATATCAGATCATATCTGAGGGAAAGAGTGAGGGGAAGCCTGAAGGCACTTTAATGGGTCATCAAAGTAGCTCAAGGTGAGCAGAGATGAGATGTGGACCCAAGTGCGGACAGAGAATTGAGAAGGATGAGAGTGGGAGTGAGCTTGCCCTTTATAGATCTCCTTAGTATGTCAGAAGCTGGCCCTTCTAAATCCTGGAGAACTTCTGGGGTGTTGGTAATGTCGGGAGGTGGGAAATGTGAAGAAGGAAGTAGTAAGAAGGAACTGTAATTAATTGTTTTGAAAAAAATGTGTTTGGGCTGGAGGAGTTGAATTCTGCAGTGGCTGGGCAGATGGTCTGCAGGTGAGGGCAGCACAGGTGTCCCTACTGTGAAAATTTGGCATCTCTACTTGCCTGTATTCTGCAGGTAATGGGGTGGTGGTACACAGGTGGCTGCAGACATGGAAGGCTTTCATTGTTTGTGTATGTCCCAACTGGTCTTGGTTCTCCTCCTCAACCCCAACCCATTTTTCCTTCTGTATTCTGGCTCTCAAAGCATATTTGGAAATGTGGGGAGTCACTTTTTGGATGTCACAATGACTAAGAAATGCTACTGGAATTTAGTGGATCAGAGCCAAACATGTCAAACATTTTAAAATGTACAAGAGAGTCCCCCACACAAAGAATTGTCCTGTTCAAAATACCACGAGCACCTCTATTAAGAAACTATATGAATGTCATCACTGGATACCCAGATGCCCAGGAGAGAAACCTGGAAGTCGTCCAAGGTCCCTTCCTCTCTCTTTCCCTCCCCTCACCCAGCTAAGCTGTCACTGAGTCCTATTAATTATACCTCCTAAATATTTCCCAAATCAATGTCTTTCTTTTTGTTCCCACTGCCCTATTTTGGCCTCCAAGACTTCCTCTTGTCTCTAAACTAGGCTGAAAGCTCTAGCTGGCAGAAACACTGCCTGCCAAATGTGTGCCAGGCACAAAGAAGATACCTCTCAATATTTACTGAGTGAATGAGTTCTAACTCCCTTTACTGTTTTCTCTTCCTTAGTCAGAGTGAGTATTTTAAAATGCATGTCTGATTGGGCTACTCCTGTTTTCAAAATCTTCATTGGTTCTCCACCATCTTCAAGGTAAAATCAAACACCTTATTATACAATGCAGGCTCTTTGCCTCACCTTCCAGCCTCATTTCCTACCATTCTTCCATAAGAACCTTTGCTCCAGCTTTTTCAAAGTGTCCTGGATCCCTCTGAGCTTTTTGGACTTTGTATAGTCTGTTCCCTGTGCCAGAAGTACTCTTCTTCTCCTTCTCTGAGTGGTTAATTCATAATTCTGGACCTAACGAAAATGTGGTTTCCTCCCCAGCTGCCCCTCCTACCAACCGCTGAACTTGGACCTTTACCCTATCTCCACGGCCTCCTATCACACACTTCTATCACACTGTACAGATATTGCTATTCCCATGCCCTTTATGCTTGCTAGTGAGTGGGATCCTTGAGGCTCACAGGCAGGCACTGTGGTTTTCCTTGCTCCATATACTGTGTCTGGCACAGTCCTGACCCATAGCCACCCAATCAGTGATTCTTGCACGTGTGAAGACACCATCCAGAGCCACATTGTCAATAAATGGCCAAGCTGATCTCCATCAGACCATAAGCTTCCAGTGCACTCCACTGTTTCTCGTGGACCACAGAAGCTAGCAAGTCAGTTATTAGATTGATGCATTAATTCTGAAATAATCAAACATTAGTGAAACTAGAAAACTGTGAGTGGAGTTCAGTCAACTTTCAAAAATATGTATTGGACACTATGTCTAGAAACAGAGATAAGAAATGTTTTGATGGAGGGCAGAAGAGATTTAAGGGATAGACGTGTGGGTTGTGGCAGACGAAAGCACATCAGTTGGGGAATCTCAGAGTCACATGGGCACTATCTTAAGACCAGGTGCTGGAGAGAAGGTGGCCTGACCCCAGGAATTTAGTAAGTTGAGTAAAGTCAGGGTGAGTATTGGCCACCACCAGAAATAGCCCCAGAGACTCCTGCACAGCCTGCTTACCGTTCTCCTTCTCCTGTCACTCTATGGGTAATGGTGATGAACTACCAAAGAAAAGGTGTAGCCAAGTTTCTTCTCACCTGGGCCATCAGTCAGAAAAAAAAAAGAGCCGGAGTTCTAGGAGGCAATTTTGTATTGGAATTTGTTGATTATCAACAGTGCCACCTGGCACATCTTTAGCCACTGGTTTCTGTTAAAAGTGGGAAAGGAAGCTAAATAAATAGCAGGTTGTCACTTCAAACACCTGGATGGAAGGGGCGGGCAGGGTAAGTCAGCAAGCTAAGGACCCAGAGATCATCAACAATCCAAGACCTGGAGTCTTGATAGTGTCTGAGTAGTGGAAACTGCATCGTCCTGTTCACGGGCCCACCGGGATTCCTTCAAGGGCAAACAGGCAGGAAGCAGGAACACAGGAGCCAAGATGCAGAGGCTATTCTGATTTGCAAACATCAGAGGGCCTTCCTGCCTTCTGCTCTGGATCACCACAAGTGACCTTAGTGGCTTAAAAAACCACCTCAGGATTTTGACAGGTGCTGGGAAATAGCAGGATGATGACGAACCTGTGGGAGCGCGAAGCCCAGTCCTGGTTATGAACTAGACTTAGGCCAAGGGACGGATGATTTACAGGCTGTAAACAATGCTGGCTAACAGAACCTTGTGGAAATGTGCAAATCAAGGGTTAATGAAAGCCAGACAGATCAGCAAAATGTCACATCTCTATTTTAACACTCATTTTGATTTCCTCACTCGAGTTTTACTAGGACAATGGTACACACCATAAAATGAATTTCAGTGGAGAAAATAAACTTCATATGTTGCTTTTGGAAAGTTTGTGTTTATATGATCTTTTTTTTTCTTTTCTAAAAATTTAATGATCTCTGATCAGTTTGGTTACTCAAGTCTAGACATATAAAATGATATTTCAATTTTTTTTGTGCAAGACAAACTTAAGGGAAACAACCTTCTTTACTAAATTTTTAAGTTAACATAGAACACATTTTTAAATTAATTTATGGCTTACCATTTGCTCTGGAAGTTCCGGAGATTGGAACTCACATGTGATGCCTGTATTGACGTAGCCTTGCATTTGGAGTCCACTCTTACAGGCTTTCTATCTGTGCATTCCTCTTACCATGGGTTAAACGCCTCTGAGAGTCAAAACTAAGTCTTGAGCAAATCATTGTAAAGCCTTTGCTGGAACCAGAGAAAGATAAAATTTTTAATAGAAAATTACAAGAGGGAGGATATTTACTAGTTTCATGAGCAGTGAGTTAAATCTTTAAAAGTCAGGAAAAATATGAGGGCCTAGAACTGTTTGATGACAGAGTTTCATTGTATTGTCAGTAGTAAACAAATAGAGGCTTAAGTATTCTTAAGCGGAAGCTCGATTAAAAAGACAAACCTTGGAACAGGCTTTGTGGAAGGCCAAGAGACTTAGATTCTGCCAGTCCAGGAAGGAAGGGATTCCAAAGATAAAGGGCATCCATCGAAAACATCTTGTTTCCAATGCTGGGAGCTTTCCACCAGGAAATAAACAGGAATGTGCTGCTTCACTGAGAGAGAGAGAGAGAGAATGTCTCTAAGATAGTCATTAGCACAAGTGCCTAGAGTCTAGCTGTCTGGGTTTCCAGCACCTCCAGGGAAAGGCTATGTCCCTCCAATGCTAAATACAGTCAAGGGTTGAGAGCATAACATTTCCATTGCACTCCTCTCTCTCCACTTTTATTTAAAACTAAACTTGTTATATTCTTTGCTCTAGACTCTGACATAGACAACTGTTCCTAATGGTTAGGCAAAAAAAAAAAATTCATTGCTAAGGAAATGCACATTCTTAGGTTAAGAGCCATAAGCTATGAAGTTGTCTGATTTTTTGGCACAATGATTCTGTCTGAGCAGGCTTGATGATGTGGTCTGAGGAATGCCTGATGATAAGCATGACTTAGTCCTTGGTTACTGCATGTGACCTTCACATGTATGTATTAGAGAGGGAGACAGACTTAACTCATGTGTCTGGACATGCCTTGAAAGCAAACACATGTAGCACCCAGGAAGTGAATGTTGGGATACTTGAATGCTTGAAACTGTTTATTCAGGAGTCATGTAACACAGCAGCAGCGGTGGTGGTGAAAATCCTTCATTCAAGAGCCAGGAACAAGGGAATTTTGTTTGAGACAAGGTATATCAGGAATGGAGCTAGAAGTCTCTCCTATGTAGTCTACTGGATACAGGTACCTACTCTTGAGTTCACTCCCCTGGGTTTGAATCTTATATATTAGTTGTGTGGATGTGGCAAATTACTGAGCCTTTTTTGTTTTGGCTCTTATTAACTGTAAAATGGAAAGATATGACAGTGCCTTCCTTCCTTAAATAATACATTTAAGTGGGCATCTCTCACATCCAGGGTGAAGGTCACCTGCAGATAGCCTGAGCTTCACCATGAACACCTAACATTACACATTCCTCACACTGCATCATCACACCTGTTCATATTGTAATTATTTTGCCACTTTCTGGTTGTGCGATCTCAGGCAAGTTACTTGACCTTCCTGTGCCTAGATTTGTTCTTCTGTGTAAATTTTATAGGATTATTATGAGGATTAAATGAGTTAATATTTGTGAAGTGCTTAGAATATGGCACATAGTAAGCACTGTGTGAATACTTATTAAGTAAACAAGACTGTGCCTAGAATATCTAAGAGTTTTATACATGTTAGCTATGATCGTAAACATGGTCATCATCCAGGAGAACTTGATTCTGTTCTGAGCTCTTGATTAGAATGAGAATTTGTGAAGTTGGCCAGGGAATAATGGTAAGAGAAAGCGCCTGTGTGTGTATGCTGGAGATGGAGGTTTGGAGAATGCTTTGAAGTTTATCCATTATTATGCATATAATCCCCTTCTCAGTGTGATAGAAGAATAAAATGTAGGCCCAAGGCAATATTAATTAATATTACTTATACCCTTGTCTTCATCATGATTAAAAATTAATTTTTCTAGCACCATTGTAAAGAATTGAGGACTCACAATGTAGAATGACTGGACCTTTCTTTGAATATGATGGCAGCATTTCTGTATTGTTTCATCTGCTTTGATCCTTAAAATGTTTTCCTTTTTATTTGGTTTTAATGGAGCACCTACTGCTAATTGGGAAGCATTTAATGTGAAGTTGCCTTGGACAGAATTGAGTTACTGAAGCATGTCTTTTGAAATACAAAGTTGTTTTTTTAAATGGTGAAGAAACCATTGGCCTATACCAAAGGTAGAATGGCAGTAGAAATGGCATCTTTTTTCTTTGACTTCACTCCAAGATCTGTGAGCCAGAGAAATGAACCCAGAAGGAGAGGGAGAGGTGGTGGTAGGACTCTTCCCCTATGTGTAGGTAGCCTAAGCCTTTCTTTCCTGGTTTCCATTATTGAGTTTGGACCTTCCATTTTATAATGCTCAAGAAGTATCACCAAATTCAATTTCCCCACCCCTATGACCAAACAGGTCTGTCTATTGGGTTTCTAGGTAGCCTTCACCATCTAGAGCACTATTTCCAGGAGGGTTCTGAAGCCTTATCTGCGCTCTATTGGGCAGTGTGCTGTGATCTATTAGCAATGTCTTTCACAGGTGGGCATGATGATGTCAGAGGTATGGTTTGCACATGTTACTTTGACTTTCTTGCACCAATTCCTCTGTTTAATTGAGAAACAGGATTGCAGAGAGGTTCCAACTGTCAGGTGTTGGGGTATATGTCCCAAACCCTCTAAGCCTCAATCCTCTTCTTTAAAATTGAGAAAATAGAGTGATAGAAAGATGGCAGTGTGAGGGGGTCCCCTTGATCTCTCCCCTTGAAGATGCAAGTTGAACAGCTATAATTCAACAAAGGATTCCCCACACAACACACAAACATGTCTGAGAGGTCCACACATCGAAACATCTGAAGGTGGGCGAATCAGGGCAAACGGGAAGAGGTGAGGAAGAAGAGCAGAGTTGGGTGTTGCAGACACAGCCCAGAGCTCACTGTGGGTCTCAGGATAGGAGAGGATTCAGGCTACAGGTGCACTCTCTGTGGCCCTGAGCATTCCTGAGTGATCAGCATATAATATAGCTGAACCAAGCAATCGGGGCAGAGACCAAATACAGACGTGTGACAGCTGTGTTCTAGCAGCCTCCATTGCCAGTCTGAAAACAAAGCCACAGAGCCATGCCACCTCTTCCCACCCTTCCAGAGCTAGCAGTGAGCTCCAGAAGAAATTGAAGCAGGAGTGTTGAGTTACAAAGCAGAATATCTATAGCCCTGAGAACTGGAAAGACAGTTCCTGAGAGGCAGATGCACACTGTGGCTAATCCCAGTGACAAGGGTGGAGATACAGAGGTGAGGCAGCTGAGGTCTGGCAGTCACTATTACTGGGAGGAGAACAAAGCCACAAACATACCATCAGCCTCTCCCATCCTACCCCAAACCTTCGTGGCTGATCCCAGTGGGGGCACCTGGGACAGCTCAGGCAGTGAAGCACTGCATCTGGCCACTGGGGCAGCACCAGGATTTCAGGAGCTCAGAACCCCACTGCCCACCCCATTCTGCCAGAGGGGTGGTGCCCTGAGACCAAGGCCATCTGGTCACAGAGGAGACACCCACCTCCCCAGGGATTACAAGGCATTTTTTTAGCACACAGCAGAGATTCGAGAAGCTACAGCAGTGCAAGAGAAAATAAAACACTTGCACCCTTGTGCCACCTATGAAAAACAAAAGAAAGATTTCTTCTTATTAACCTGTTGCAGAGTTCACTCCCATAAATGCCTAGGCAGAAAAATAATCCATTAAATATTAGGGAGAACTGAGATAATAAGGCGGCTCAGAAAGGAAATGAAAAATCCAGAAAATAAACTTAAAGACATAGAAATATGGATTTAAATGAAAGAGACTTCCAGATAGCCATTCTGAAAAAAATCAATGAGATACAAGAAAACTCAGATAGGCAGTATAGAGAACTCAGAAATAAAATCAGTGAACAAAATAAATATTTTACCAAAGAGACTGAAATTTTTAAAAAGAATCAAATAGATATTCTGGAACTGAAGAACCAATAAAAGAGATGAAGAATGAAATAGCAAGCTTAGGAAAGAGAGCTGACTAGATGAAGGAAAGAATTAGTAATATTGAAGATAGAAATCTGGACATGACACAGATGAAAAAAGAGAGAGACTTAAGAGTTAAAACAAAATAATAAAGAACTCCACAAGAACTATTTCTAACTCTGTCAGAAAGAGCAATATAAGTATAATGGGTATACCAGAAAGAGAAGAGAGGGAAAGAGGGAACAGAGAGCCTATTCAAACAAATACTTGAAAACTTCTCAAATCTATGGAAAAAAACTGGATCCTCAATCCCAAGAAGCAAACAGAACACCTAATTATCTCAATCCAAAAAGACATTCTCTAAGGTACATTATATTAAAATCTCAAAAATTAATGACAGAGAAAGAATTCTCAAGGCAGCCAAGAAAAAGAAGATGGCAACATGTAAAGCAGATCCCATTATATTATCATTGTATTTTTTTCAGCAGAAACTCTACAAGCTAGGAGGAAGTGGAATAAAATATTCAAACTATTGGAAGATAAATATCCAGCAAAGATATGAAAGAGTAATAAAGACCTTTCCAGACATACAGAAGCTGAGGGAATTTTCCACCACAAGGCCTACATTACAGGAAATACTGAAGGAGGTTATTCTACCTGAAACAAAAAAAAACCAAAAGAATACAAAACTATGAGTAAGATGATTAACAGATAGACAGAAGCAGGAAATTGCAACCCTTATTCAGAATAGGGCACTATACATTTAAATATAACATTAAGGTTAAAGGAGATAAAAACATTAAAAAAAAAGAGAAGAAGACAATAATAGCTACTGCAACTCAGAAATGAACTCACAGCATAAATGGAGATAATTTGTGACAATAAAAACATAAAAGGGAGGGGAGTAAATATCTAAATTTGCAAATGGGAATGGAGATAAGATGCATGCACAAGAAAAAGGACTACTGTGTATAAGAAACTTTCTTTTACATAAATTTGATGGTATCCACACACATAAAAATCCAGAACTGAAACATGTAACATAAAAAAAAGAGGAAACAGAGGTGGAAAATCATAAAATACTATCAAACTAAAATAACACAAGGGCAAAGAAACAATGGAGACACCAAGCTACCAGAAAACAGATAAAATGGCTATAGGAAATCCTCATATATCAATAATCACCCTAAATGCAAATAGACTGA